CTTTGTATAGAGTCTTTGTTTTGTATTTCAATTTTGAGACTGACAGAGCTACTTTAAACACCCAAAAGAGGAGTGAGATGGCTGCTACTCAAACACTGGGGACCACACTGAGTTTTTTTATGGTATTAATAGAACTAAGAACTTTGCTTTTGTTGAGGAAAGCATTTAGAAATCCATTAAGTTCACTTTAAATTGAATTATGTCACAAATGTTTTACAATAATCAAATAATTTGAAAATTATTTCCTTATATCAAATGGTAGGGAAACACAGTAGAGAAATGTGCCATTTATGATAGAGGACAGAGCATAAGTCAAATATAATATTAGTTAAAAATTTGCTTTAGTCTTATATACTTAGCTAATACTAATTTGTTTAGTTTACTAAGTCTCAAGTTCTCTTCTGTAAAACTCCCTTAGTATCAGTGCAGACTAAGATATATTAAAACCAGGTTTTGAACAAATAGTATTCTCATACCTAGTGATATAACCGTATTTATATTCTTTTAGAAAGATTTTTATGATTGAAAATACTAGGTGAGAGGGAATGAGCAGTTTGAAGCCTCCAGCTATGCATAGCTGTCTCACTTGCCTTCCTGAAATATTATGCTAATTTGTACACACAACAAAGTATATGAGAGTGCCCATTTGGAAATATTTGCCATACTAATAGATTTAAAAAATGAATGTTACTCTTTTCAAAGCTTTCTTTAATAATTGAAAAACTCACATATTTATTGATCATCCATATTTTATCATTTGTGTCTGATTATCTTATAATCTGTACATTTTTTATTGGTTGTTCCTTGTTTTCTCACTGATTTATAAGAGCTCTTTTTTCTGCTAAAAATTTGCCACTTTTTTATTTTTGGTTTTGACTTACAGACATTTAATATTTTTTCTGTCATTAAAGTTTTTCCAACTTCCATTTTTTTGTGTGTGTTCAGAATATTTTCTATACTCTATTATTTCCATTATTTTCTTCTTATACTTTCATTATGTAATTTTTTATTTCTTTTGTAAATTTTGAAATTAATTGTGTTACACCATAGGAGATGGGAACTTTGTGAGTTATTGCACATTGACTCATAGTGTGATATAATGGAAAGACTTGGGATTTAGAACACCTGGTTATTCTTGGGACTGTTACAACTTGTAACCTAATACACTCATTTTGTTTCTAAAATTCTGTTGTAAACATACATAGCTGTATGTTGGCCATCCTCCAGAATGGTCCCAAGCATTCTTACCTTCTGGTGTTTGCACCTTGTGTGGTCCTTCCCACATTGAATCAGAGATGGTCTGTGACAGAATATGGTAGAAATAATGGTACAGGACCTCAAAGACTTGGTCATAAAAGACGTTTCAGCTTTTGCTCTTGTCTCTTGGATTATATACTCACAAGTCACTAAGGTGAAGACTGAAGAAGCCCTATAAAAAACATAAATGGAGAGGAACTGAGGCCTCTTCTCAGCTCTCGGCACCAGCTTGTTAGTTATGCATATGAGTCATTATTTAAGGGGATTTTCTAGCGCCTCCCAAATTTCTTTCCCATAGGAACTGAGCAGTAATAAACGGTTATCGTTATTTTAAGTGACTAAACTTTAGGATAATTTGTGGCTTTTTTTAATCTTTATTTTTGAGAGAGAAAGAGAGAGAGTATGCATGCTGGGAGGGGCACAGACAGGGAGATAAAATCCTAAGCGGGCTCCAGGCTCTGAGCTGTCAGCAGAGAGCCCAACGTGGGTCTCGAACCCATGAACTGTGAGATCATGACCTGAGCCAAAGTTGGACGCTTAACCGACTGAGCCACCCAGGCACCTCAGGATAATTTGTTTCTTAGCAATAGATAATACAGTGTGCAAGCAATTTTTTTAATGTTTTATTTATTTTCTTGAGAGAGAGAGAGGCAGAGTACGAGTGGTAGAGGGGCAGAGAGAGATGGAGACACAGAATCTGAGGCAGGTTCCAGGCTCTGAGCTGTCAGCACAGAGCCTGACACAGGGCTTGAACTCAAGAACCACGAAATCATGACCTGAGCCGAAATCAGACACTTAACTGAGCCACCCAGGTGCCCGGCAATTTTTTAAATGGCTTCAATTTGACTCTTGAGTTAAATCTAAATATGTGAAACACCTTTAAAAAACAAGATTTTTGAAGATCTTTATTTTCTGTAGAGATAGAGTGTACTTTTTCAACAAACCTATGATGGATAAATTATTTAGTCATATTATCTAGCTTCTCAGAGACTCCGATTGTTCTGTTGCCCTATTAAAACTAAGAAAGAATGTCTAGGATGGAAGAAAAATCAGATTCTGCCTTCTAAGTTTCCTGAGGACAGTCCTATCATAATAATTTAAACATTTATTAAGTACCTACCTTTTTTCAGATACTGAGGATACATGACTAAATTAGATGTACACAATTTCGGGTCTTTTGGAGACTGCAGTTTTAGGTTGGGGAGGTCAGTCCCACCCCTCACCCGCACCCCCCAAAAAAATTCTGGTGATAAGTCTGTTAAAAGAAATAAGTGGAATAAGTAGGTAGGTTTACTTTAGGCTGGTCAAAGTTTATCCTGCTTTCTCAGTATAATATCTGGCACACATTAGGCATTTACATGTTGAATAAATGAATATGTCTGAGTTGGTTTGTTTATATGTTAACATAATACTCTCATTCCCCCTGCCAACATACATATATGTACATGTAGATGGAAATATTATTATTCCCAGTTTTATGACTCAGATGTTATATCCCAATTTTCCATGTTCAGAATTGTGAAAGACTAGATGCTGTAAACAGCTTCCTGTTGCATAGTTATGTCCCTGATAGGACAAATTTTTGTGGCATTAATGATCTTTGCAAAGAGGCAAAGTGATCTTCAAGGCCTCCCTTCTTCCAAATAAAGAAAGAAAAAGCAAAATCTTACAAATTGGAGTTAGATGATGCTGATAGCAGTTTTCAAGGTACTAAGCTTTTGGCTCACAGCAAGATAGGGGAGCTGTGGTTGGATTCCTGTAGTCTAGACTCTTTGGGGTGCCCTCAAATCACTACCAGCATTAGAAACAGACCTGACTGTACTAACGCCCAAAGACTACCCTTGGTCTAGTATCAGAGAATGAACTCACCATCAAAGATTATAAATTATAAGAAGCCATCATAAGCAGAGGTTGATAAATGTGTTCTGTAAATGGCCAGATAGTAAATATTCAAGCTTTGCAGTCTCTATTGTGTACCTATTCAGTTCTTCCATTGTAGTGGGAAAGCAGCTATAGAAGATCTATAAATGAATGAGCATGACCGTTGAAATAAAACAATTTACAAAAACAGGTAACAGGCCAGATTTGGCCTGCAACCAGTTTGCTAACCCCTGCAATGGAAGGTGGAGTAGAGGAGGTATTTTAAGAGATAATGGCTGTTTGAATACTGATGAAAAATAAATTCTTAGGTCCATAATCTCCCTAGTAAGATGATAAAGAGAAAGTCATGTTTTCATCAAGTGAAATGCATGACACCAAAGTCAAAAAAAGCAGCTGTAGAGAAAAACAGATCATTTGAATGGAAATTATGAATTAGAAATATAGAATTAACAGTAATAGAAGATAGTAGAAAAATATCTTCAAAGAGTTGAGAGATTATCATCAATATAAAATAGTATGCTCAACAAATCTTTTGAAGAGGAGAATCCAGGCATTTACAGACTAAAAAATGAGAGCATTTACCATCAAGAGACCTACATTAAGGGGATTTTGAGAGGTTATTTTTAAGAATCTACTCAAGCTAATGTTAGGAACAAGAGCTAAATCTCCACATTGCAGTTTCAATGGAGAGTAATGACAAAAATGAAATAGAATGGTAGTCAGTATAGTTTTCTTCAGCTACAGATTGTTAGAATCTAGGTAAAGCTGAAATTCATGCTTTTGTAGGTTTTCCCCCCTATACTGTTGTTTTCCTCCTAATCTCTAATTATTTTAATTAATATTTTTGTGATGTGGGGTGAGGTTTGTAGTGGTATAATTCTATAAGATCTTTTATTACATAGTTCTTAAATTTTTTGCAAAGAATTTCTGTTGTGATTATAGTGGTCTCATGTTTTTTTTGTCTTTTCTGTACTTGGATAATTGGTTATGCTTATGCTGGACATTTGATAAATGGGGAAAAAAACACCCAAATTCATTAAATGTAGAAAAGACCAAAATCAAGGATATGATCTAAGAAGAAATATGTTCCATGGTTTCAAAAGCTGCAGAAAGCCAGTGACAATCAGACTGAAGAATTTGGATAGTAAAGGGATCACTAAAAACTTAATATACTTCTCTGGGATAGCTGTTGAAGCAAAATGACCTCAAGCTTAAATAAGAACTAGATATCCTAATAACAGGAAGGAAATATTTGATCTCCTATGAAAAAAAACTATTGTCATAGTACTTACTATTTATTGAGTACTCAACATGTGTCAAGCGTAGTGCTAAGAACTTTCTGTGTGATTTTTGCATTTGGGCCTTATGATAATCCCTTCTAGTTTGATGCCTTCGTTATCTCCGTTTTGTAATGACAGGAACTGAGGCTGTATATAGTTTGACTACTTAAAGTACAGCAGTAAGTTCCAGAGCTGGAATTAGTAACCAGACCACCTGACTCCCATGCAGAAATTATGCCTTAACCACAAACGTTGTGGGCTGAAGAGCAAGTTTAGGTAGTTGTTGTGATTATTATCTGTGTTTATTTATATGTTCTCTGTGCTTTTTACTGTGCAAAGGAGCAATTAAAGATGATATTGAAAGCACGTGGTGAGGGGCAAAGAGTTTTTCAACTTGGTGTGATAGGGATTGAGTCTGGTGTAGTATAGAAAGATCTACTGATATAAGTGCAAACAGTTCTTTCCACTTGTAGCTGTGAAGTACTGAGCTAGAGTAATTCTTGATAGGTAGTTTTGATTTCTAGCACATAATTTTGTATGTGGCAAAAGCTTTTTTTTAAATTAGAATTTTTTTTTTCCTAGTGGAAAGAGTGAAAGAACAATTAAAACTTTCTTTGGAAAATAAGAACGGCATAGTGCAAACTGGTGAATTAACAGTTGTGCTGGATGGATTGGCGATTGAGCAAGAAAATCTAACAAACTGCAACTCATCTCCAACCAGTAAGCCAACTTTATGTGTTTTTAAAGTTTGAAGTGGGAAAAAAACCTGAAAGAAGTATATAAAAACCTGCTTTATTTCTTTCTTGTTTAGTAGAAATACAGCAAAATGGTGATGCCTTACATGAAAATGGAGACCCTTCAACAAGACCAACCTCCAGGTAGAATATTTTATTTTAGTATTTGTGGCAAGGTAATGTAACGTTTCCCATATATGAAGTTTTACATTTTAACCTTAGAGTTTGCCATAGAATTTAAAAGCTTGTATCTGTACATATCATTTGTTTAAATTCTTTTAAAAGTAGTTTTTAAAGAGATAAATTACATTGAGATATAATACACATACCAAAAGGATTACCTTCTATATATTTCAGTAGATTTGGGTATAACAGTCACGACTATCTAATTTCAGAAATTCTCATCACTCTCAAAAAGGGACTGGGGGCACCTCGGTGTCTCAGTCAGTTAAGTGTCCCAACTCTTGATTTTGGCTCAGGTCATGATCTCACGGTTGGTGGGATAGAGACTGCCTTGGGTTCTGCACTGACAGCTCAGGGCCTGCTTGGGATTCTCTTGTCTTCTCTCTCTGCCCCTCCCCTGCTTGTGTGCACGTACTTGCTCTCTCTCGCTCTCTTTCAGAATGAATAAACATTTAAAGAAGTGGGGGGGGGGGGGGGGGGGGGGGAAACCTGGGTGGCTCAGTCCGTTAAGGGTTAGACTCTTGGTTTCAGCTAAGGTCATGATCTCATGCTTGGTAGGTTCAAGCTCCACATCAGGCTCTGTGGTGAGCCTGCTTGGGATTCCTCCTCCTCCTTCTTCCTCTCTCTCTCTCTCTCTCTCTCTCTCTCTCTCTCTCTCTCTCTCTCTCTCACATGTGTGTGTTCTCTCTCTCTCTCTCTCTCTCTCTCTCTCTCTCTCTCTCTCTCTCTCAAAAATAAATAAACATTAGAGAGAGAGAGAGACTCTGTAGCCATGAGCAGTCTCTCCCCATTCCTCTCTCCCAGCTCCTGGCAGCCCTAACCTACTTTTTGTCCAGTGGCTTGGCCTGTTTTGGCCTTTTCTTAGATATGGACATATATGTCACTTTCTATTACTGGCTGTTTTTACTTAGCATGAGATTCATTCATGTTGTAGCGTGTGTCATTAATTCATTCTTTTCTTTGTCACCTTCTATTACTGGCTGTTTTTACCTAGCATGAGATTCATTCGTGTTGTAGCATGTGTCAGTACATCATTCTTTTTTATTGGAAATGGCTTCTTAAAATCTGTATTTAGGCATATTATATCAGTAAATAGATAGGTGCAGATAATGTGGAAAAATTGGCATCTTTTTGCTATCTGAATTGGCAGCTTCCAGTAGATCACTAGAAGGTACATGCTCCACAGATTCTAGTCTTTCCTCAGAAATCATCCTGCCATCTCAGAAATTCCCTTTGCTTACAGTTTGATGACCATAAAAGCTTTCTCTTTGGAATAGTTTAAATTAGAATAAAAACATATAATAGACTGGTTATAATGAATCCTTCAAAATATAAAAATACATTGCCATAAAAGTGACTTGTTAATGTCTGAAAAATATGCTGGTATATGACAAAGTGTGACTTCTATTAATATATAAAATTACTAACATCATTACTCCTAAATTGTTATCAAATGATTCTCATAGAGCACAGATAAGTATATTTTCTGAATATGTATTTGGCTTAAATAAATCTATTTAGTTTCCATAGGAAAAAACTAAGAGCTAAAAGGGTACAACACTAGGTAGATTAAAATATTTTGTCTGTGTGTATCTAAAATATGTATCTGTTTTTATAATCTTTGTAATACAATCTTAGATGGGTAAAGAAGATTGAGTCATGACCAATCTGAAAACTAATTTATTGCATAGTAAGACATTTTGAATGAAAGATTAGATCTATAGCACCAGGAGAACTTCACATGAATTCTTCTACTTAGACACTTGGATCACTGATTTCTTCCTGAGTGGCTGGGGAGGGCTGTGCAATCAGAAGAATCACTTGGGAACTTCCTTTCCTTGTCCAAACTTCCTGAAGACATCTCATTCCAAATACACAGGTAACAAAGGAAAGGAGAGTTTCATTCATTCATTCATCATCAGATACTTATTGAGTGCCTGTTTGGTGCTCGACACTAGTCCAAGCACTAAGCATACTGGCCCTGTTCCTGTGAAATTTCATTCTGGTGGGATAAAGGTAAAGAGTAAATAAGTGAAGAAATGAATTAGCTAATTGGAAATAGTATTAAGAACTGTGAAGTCATTGAAATAGGACAAGGTGACAGGAATGAAAGGGAGTCTGTTTTAAAGAGAGATGTTGGGGGAATTATCTTTGAAAAAGTGTCATTTGACCTACAATTAAAAAGCCAAAAATGTACTATCCATGCAGAGTTCTGACAGGAGAGCATTATTCTAGGCAGAGGACATAGCAAGTGCAAAGACCGTGAGTTTATTTTTAGTTAATTCATGCTCTACAAATTCTTCCAACTCGAGAATATAATATTTATCCTTTTTTTTTTTTTTGGATAATCCTATAGTCATTATAATATTACTGCTTGCGTATGATAATTTGTAATAAACAGGAAGGCTTTACAGCATGTTTTCATGTTCAGTAAAATTGATATATGGTATATATATCAAGGTAAGAAAGGAGGAACTTGGAGACAAAGATAGCTAGACACAATCTGATTGATATATTTTTAAAAACAGGCTGCTTTGTGGAGAGTAGATACACCATGGACTGTGTATTTGGAAAAAACTCTCCTGTTTATTTACATGATATCACCCAACTTCCTATCCATTGCCAATAAGATTTAAAATATTTGATTTTGTAGTTGTAGATTTATTTATTTGCAGTTCATGTATTTGCTATAAATTCTTCTAACTGCGATATAATATTTAGCTTTTCTGATTATCATGTGCTCATTATTTTAGTACCTAGTACACTGTAATTTGTAATCAATATTTGAAGACCTTTTCAGCTTATTTTTCAGTGTTTAATAAAATTACAATAGGTTGGCAATCCCTATCAAAATAACACCAGCATTCTTCACAGAGCTGTAACAAATAATCCTAAAATTTGTTTGGAACCAGAAAAGACCCCAAATAGCGAAAGCAGTCTTGAAAGAGAAAACCAAAGCTGGAGGCATCACAATCCCGGACTTCAAGATGTATTACAAAGCTGTTATCATCAAGACAGTATGGTACTGGCACAAGAACAGACACTCAGATCAGTGGAACAGAATAGAGAACCCAAAAATGGACCCACAGACCTATGGCCAACTAATCTTTGGCAAAGCAGCAAAGAATATCCAATGGAATAAAGACAGTCTCTTCAGCAAGTTGTGCTGGGAAAACTGGACAGTGACATGCAGAGAAATGAACCTGAAGCACTTTCTTACACCATACACAAAAATAAACTCAGAATGGATGAAAGACCTAAACGTAAGACAGGAAGCCATCAAAATCCTCGAGGAGAAAGCAGGCAAAAACCTCTTTGACCTAGGCCGTAGCAACTTCTTACTCAACACATCTCCGGAGGCAAGGGAAACAAAAGCAAAAATGAACGACTGGGACCTCATCAAAATAAAAAGCTTCTGCACAGCAAAGGAAACAAATAGCAAAACTAAAAGGTAACCGACGGAATGGGAGAAGATGTTTGCAAACAACATACAAGATAAAGGGTTCGTAACCATAATCTATAAAGAACTTAACAAACTCAACACCCAAAAAACAAATAATCCAGTGAAGAGATGGGCAAAAGACATGAATAGACACTTTTCCAAAGAAGACATCCAGATGGCCAACTGACACATGAAAAAATGCTCAATGTCACTCATCATCAGGGAAATATAAATAAAAACCGCCATGAGATACCACCTCACACCTGTCAGAATGGCTAACATTAACAACTCAGGCAACAACCGATGTTGGCAAGGATGTGGAGAAAGAGGATCTCTTTTGCACTGCCGGTGGGAACGCAAACTGGTGCAGCCATTCTGGAAAACAGGATGGAGGTTCCTCAACAAATTAAAAATAGAACTACCTTGTGACCCAGCAATTGCACTACTAAGTATTTATCCAAGGGATACAGGTGTGCTGTTTTGAAGGGGCACACGTACCCCAATGTTTATAGCAGCACTATCAACGATGGGCAAAGTATGGAAAGAGCCCATATGTCCCTTGACAGACAAATGGATAAAGAAGACGTAGTCTATATATATACAATGCAGTATTACCCAGCAATCAAAAAGAATGAAATCTTGCCATGTGCAACTACGTGAATGGAACCTAGAGGGTATTATGCTAAGCAAAATTAATCAGTCAGAGAAAAATATCTTTTGACTTCACTCACATGAGGACTTTAAGATACGAAACGGATGACCATAAGGAAAGGGAAGCAAAGATAATGTAAAAACAGGGAGGAGGACAAAACATGAGACTCTTAAATTTACAGAACAAACAGAGGGTTACTGGAGGGGTTGTGGGTGGGGGGGGGTGGGCTAAATGGGTAAGGGGCATTAAGGAATCTCCTAAAATCGTTGTTGCACTATATACTAACTAACTTGGAAGTAAGTTAAAAAATAAATAAATTATTATTATTATTATTATTTTTATTTTTTAAAAAAAAATTTTTTTTTTCAACGTTTATTTATTTTTGGGACAGAGAGAGAGCATGAACGGGGGAGGGGCAGAGAGAGAGGGAGACACAGAATGGGAAACATGCTCCAGGCTCTGAGCCATCAGCCCAGAGCCTGACGCGGGGCTCGAACTCACGGACCGCGAGATCGTGACCTGGCTGAAGTCGGACGCTTAACCGACTGCGCCACCCAGGCGCCCCAAAAAATAAATAAATTATTTAAAAAATTATAATGGTTGGAACTGATTTTTAAAAGTTCCTTGAGCTTTTTGAAAATGCTTTTTAGAAATGCTTTTTAATTAAAGGCTGTAACAAGAGATGAAGAAGGACATTATATAATAGTGACAGGGTCTATCCATCAGGAAGAGCTAACAATTATAAATGTCTATGTGCCGAATACCGGAGCGCCCAAATATATAAAACAATTACTCATAAACATAAGCAACCTTATTGATAAGAATGTGGTAATTGCCGGGGACTTTAACACCCCACTTACAGAAATGGATAGATCATCTAGACACACGGTCAATAAAGAAACAAGGGCCCTGAATGAGACATTGGATCAGATGGACTTGACAGATCTATTTAGAACTCTGCATCCCAAAGCAACAGAATATACTTTCTTCTCGAGTGCACATGGAACATTCTCCAAGATAGATCATATTCTGGGTCACAAAACAGCCCTTCATAAGATCACAAGAATTGAAATCATACCATGCATACTTTCAGACCACAATGCTATGAAGCTTGAAATCAACCACAGGAAAAAGTCTGGAAAACCTCCAAAAGCATGGAGGTTAAAGAACACCCTACTAACGAATGAGTGGGTCAACCAGGCAATTAGAGAAGAAATTAAAAAATATATGGAAACAAACGAAAATGAAAATACAACAATCCAAACGCTTTGGGACGCAGCGAAGGCAGTCCTGAGAGGAAAATACATTGCAATCCAGGCCTATCTCAAGAAACAAGAAAAATCCCAAATACAAAATCGAACAGCACACCTAAAGGAACTAGAAGCAGAACAGCAAAGGCAGCCTAAACCCAGCAGAAGAAGAGAAATAATAAAGAGCAGAGCAGAAATAAACAATATAGAATCTAAAAAAACTGTAGAGCAGATCAACGAAACCAAGAGTTGGTTTTTTGAAAAAATAAACAAAATTGACAAACCTCTAGCCAGGCTTCTCAAAAAGAAAAGGGAGATGACCCAAATAGATAAAATCATGAATGAAAATGGAATTATTACAACCAATCCCTCAGAGATACAAACAATTTTCAGGGAATACTATGAAAAATTATATGCCAACAAAGTGGACAACCTGGAAGAAATGGACAAATTCCTGAACACCCACACTCTTCCAAAACTCAATCAGGAGGAAATAGAAAGCTTGAACAGACCCATAACCAGCGAAGAAATTGAATCGGTTATCAAAAATCTCCCAACAAATAAGAGTCCAGGACCAGATGGCTTCCCAGGGGAGTTCTACCAGACATTTAAAGCAGAGATAATACCTATCCTTCTCAAGCTATTCCAAGAAATAGAAAGGGAAGGAAAACTTCCAGACTCATTCTATGAAGCCAGTATTACTTTGATTCCTAAACCAGACAGAGACCCAGTAAAAAAAGAGAACTACAGGCCAATATCCCTGATGAATATGGATGCAAAAATTCTCAATAAGATACCAGCAAATCGAATTCAACGGCATATAAAAAGAATTATTCACCATGGTCAAGTGGGATTCATTCCTGGGATGCAGGGCTGGTTCAACATTCGCAAATCAATCAACATGATACATCACATTAACAAAAAAAAAGAGAAGAACCATATGATCCTGTCAATCGATGCAGAAAAGGCCTTTGACAAAATCCAGCACCTTTCTTAATAAAAACCTTGAGAAAGTCGGGATAGAAGGAACATACTTAAAGATCATAAAAGCCATTTATGAAAAGCCCACAGCTCACATCATCCTCAACGGGGAAAAACTGAGAGCTTTTTCCCTGAGATCAGGAACACGACAGGGATGCCCACTCTCACCGCTGTTGTTTAACATAGTGCTGGAAGTTCTAGCATCAGCAATCAGACAACAAAAGGAAATCAAAGGCATCAAAATTGGCAAAGATGAAGTCAAGCTTTCGCTTTTTGCAGATGACATGATATTATACATGGAAAATCCGACAGACTCCACCAAAAGTCTGCTAGAACTGATCCATGAATTCAGCAAAGTTGCAGGATACAAAATCAATGTACAGAAATCAGTTGCATTCTTATACACTAACAATGAAGCAACAGAAAGACAAATACAGAAACTGATCCCATTCACAATTGCACCAAGAAGCATCAAATACCTAGGAATAAATCTAACCAAAGATGTAAAGGATCTGTATGCTGAAAACTATAGAAAGCTTATGAAGGTAATTGAAGAAGATTTAAAGAAATGGAAAGACATTCCCTGCTCATGGATTGGAAGACTAAATATTGTCAAAATGTCAATACTACCCAAAGCTATCTACACATTCAATGCAATCCCAATCAAAATTGCACCAGCATTCTTCTCGAAACTAGAGCAAACAATCCTAAAATTCACATGGAACCACAAAAGGCCCCGAATAGCCAAAGTAATTTTGAAGAAGAAGACCAAAGCAGGAGGCATCACAATCCCAGACTTTAGCCTCTACTACAAAGCTGTCATCATCAAGACAGCATGGTATTGGCACAAAAACAGACACATAGACCAATGGAATAGAATAGAAACCCCAGAACTAGACCCACAAACGTATGGCCAACTCATCTTTGACAAAGCAGGAAAGAACATCCAATGGAAAAAAGACAGTCTCTTTAACAAATGGTGCTGGGAGAACTGGACAGCAACATGCAGAAGGTTGAAACTAGACCACTTTCTCACACCATTCACAAAAATAAACTCAAAATGGATGAAGGACCTGAATGTGAGACAGGAAACCATCAAAACCTTAGAGGAGAAAGCAGGAAAAGACCTCTCTGACCTCAGCCGTAGCAAACTCTTACTCGACACATCCCCAAAGGCAAGGGAATTAAAAGCAAAAGTGAATTACTGGGACCTTATGAAGATAAAAAGCTTCTGCACAGCAAAGGAAACAACCAACAAAACGAAAAGGCAACCAACGGAATGGGAAAAGATATTTGCAAATGACATATCGGACAAAGGGCTAGTCTCCAAAATCTATAAAGAGCTCACCAAACTCCACACCCGAAAAGCAAATAACCCAGTGAAGAAATGGGCAGAAAACATGAAGAGACACTTCTCTAAAGAAGACATCCGGATGGCCAACAGGCACATGAAAAGATGTTCAGCGTCGCTCCTTATCAGGGAAATACAAATCAAAACCACACTCAGGTATCACCTCACGCCAGTCAGAGTGGCCAAAATGAACAAATCAGGAGACTCTAGATGCTGGAGAGGATGTTGAGAAACGGGAACCCTCTTGCACTGTTGGTGGGAATGCAAATTGGTGCAGCCGCTCTGGAAAGCAGTGTGGAGGTTCCTCAGAAAATTAAAAATAGACCTACCCTATGACCCAGCAATAGCACTGCTAGGAATTTATCCAAGGGACACAGGAGTACTGATGCATAGGGGCACTTGTACCCCAATGTTCATAGCAGCACTCTCAACAATAGCCAAATTATGGAAAGAGCCTAAATGTCCATCAACTGATGAATGGATAAAGAAATTGTGGTTTATATACACTATGGAATACTACGTGGCATTGAGAAAAAATGAAATAGGGCCTTTTGTAGCAACGTGGATGGAACTGGAGAGTGTGATGCTAAGTGAAATAAGCCATACAGAGAAAGACAGATACCATATGGTTTCACTCTTATGTGGATCCTGAGAAACTCAACAGGAACCCATGGGGGAGGGGAAGGAAGAAAAAAAAAAAAGAGGTTAGAGTGGGAGAGAGCCAAAGCATAAGAGACTGTTGAGAACTGAGAGCAAACTGAGGGTTGATGGGGGGTGGGAGGGAGGAGAGGGTGGGTGATGGGTATTGAGGAGGGCACCTTTTGGGATGAGCACTGGGTGTTGTATGGAAACCAATTTGACAATAAATTTCATATAAAAAAAAAAAAGAAATGCTTTTTAAAGAGCACTTTAAAGATTATTCTTAGATTAAATATTTAAATACATATATACACACATACACACACATTTTGTTGTTGTTACATTTATTTATTTTTGAGAGAGAAGCAGAGATAAAGGGGGACAGAGAATGAGAGGGGGAGGGTCAGAGAAAGAGAGATCAGAATTCAGAGCAGGCGCCAGGCACGAGCCTGACACGGGGCTCAAGCTCATGAACCATGAGATCATGACCTGAGCCAAAGTTGTACGCTTAACTGACTGAGCCACCCAGGAGCCCCTTAGACTTAAATATTTAAAATGTGCAACTTGATCATTACTTTGAGGGACTGAAATTATTTTGATTTAATATGTTTATATATCTGAGTATATATATAGTTATCTGCTAGTGTGGATACACTTAGAACTGTAAGTAATGTAAACTTTAATGCAGTAAAAGCATGCTATATCTTGTGTTCATTACTCTTTCTACCTATCACTTTCTACCTATCACTTTGCTTGAGTACTAAGAATTTGGTAAATCTTTCTTATGACAATTCTGATGGAAAGTCACTTAATTGCACTTATTGAAGTAAAGCATCTTTTTTTTTCTTTTTTTTAAGGTTGGTTGTTGAAGGTACCAGTGGAATAGATAATCATACACCTACAAGCACTCTAGTTCAAAACTCATGCTGTTCATATGTAGTTAATGGAGACAACACACCTTCATCTCCGTCTCAGGTTGCTGCCAGACCCAAAAATACACCAGCTCCAAAACCACTCACATCTGAGCCTGCCAATGACACTGGTAAGTATGGTGATTTATGACTCATTGTTTAAATGGAAACTAAATTAAACTTTATCTATGCCTACACTTCTCTTACTGTACTATCTTTCTTAATCTTCAGTTATGCGATAGGACTCTAAAGATCTAAATAACTGAAATCTTTCCTAATGTTTTGAATTTTTCTAGATTATTTAGGAGGATATTCCAAATATATATTTAGTTTAGAAATAACAATACATTTCATTGGGGCGCCTGGGCAACTCAGTTAGTTAAGCATCTGAATTTGGCTCAGGTCATGATCTCGCGGTCCATGAGTTTGAGCCCCACATCGGGCTCTGTGATGACAGCTCGGAGCCTGGAGCCTATTTCAGATTCTGTGTCTCCCTCTCTCTATGCCCCTGTCCCCACTCACAGTCTCTCTCTCTGTCTCTCTCTCTCTCTCTCAAAAATAAATAAACATTAAAAAAATTAAAAAAAAATAATACATTTCACTAAGCGTGTACTTAAAGATTCTTAGGCTTTATGCCACATGCAAAAAAAGTTAATTATATAATTCTAAAAGAACTTTTGTGAGTTTATTAATTTGTTAGTAATAAGTGGTTTCTCTTGGGGGTGGAGAGAGGAAGGGAGTGGGGGGGAGAGACAGGGAGAGAGGGAGGGAGGGAGAGAGGGAGAGAGGGAGAGAGAGAGACAGAATGAGAAAGAGAGAATGAATCCCAAGCAGGCTCCACACTATGAGTGCAGAGCCTGATGCAGGGCTCAAGCTCATGAACCATGAGATCATGACCTGAGCCAAAATCAAGAATCAGACACCTAACTGACTGAGCAACCCAGGTGCCCCAATAAATGGTTTCTTTAACCTGTCTTCAGTACACAAATAATTTATTTCTTTGTATTACAAGTTGTTAGAAAAATGTAGTTTGAGCTGATAGAGCTCTCAGAAAGTTCTGTATTTTTCAGGAGTATTCTTCCATTACAGAAGGAATGCCTATGGAAGATTTTTTTCTATAATCCTGTATTCCAATGGACTCAGCTGTAAAAATTCATAAGTAATTTTCTTGTTTCATCTTTATATATTCTTTTAGATGAATCTCTTCAAACTCAAACATCTTAAGGTTGATTATGTTTGGGAGCTAGAGTTTTAATACTGGTCTTTTATTTCCAGAGTCTATATTTTTTCCTGTGTTTTGTGTATCTATGGGAAAGTATTCAAAAGTAGAAAAAAGTGAAGAATCCATTCAGGAATTGAATGAAAATACATGGGATTATAGATAAGACAACTGTATATTTATACCCAGGATTGGAGGGAGACTTACTCTGCTCTATCTTGAGAGTTTTTGTAAACATGGGAATTGACCTCTGAATGTTTTTTGTTTTTTTTTAAATTTTTGTCTATTTTTGAAAGAGAGAGAGAGAGAGAGTGAGCACTGGAGGGGCAGAGAGAGAACTTGAAGTAGGCTCCAGGCTCCGAGCTGTCAGCACAGTACCCAATGCAGGGTCCAAACTCACAAACTATGAGATAGGACCTGTGCTGAAGTCAGACGCTTGCTGATTGAGCCACCCAGGTGCCCCTCTGAATTTTTTTGTTTAATATAATTTCTTGTCAAATTGGTTTCCATACAACACCCAGTGCTCATCCCAACAAGTGCCCTCCTCCTTGCCATCACCCACTTTCCCCTCTCCCCTACCCCCCATCTATCCTTAGTTTGTTCTCCGTCCTTAAGAGTCTCTTATGGTTTGCCTCCCTCCTCTCTGTTACTTTTTCTCCCCCCCTTCCTCTCCCCCATGGTCTTCTGTTAAGTTTCTCAAGATCCACATATGAGTGAAAACATATGGTATCTGTCTTTCTCTGACTGACCTATTTCACTTAGCATAAATCCTCCAATTCCATCCATGTTGCTGCAAATGGCCAGATTTCATTTTGTCTCACTGCCAAGTAGTATTCCATTGTATATATAAACCACATCTTCTTTATCCATTCGTCAGTTGATGGACATTTAGGCTCTTTCCGTCATTTGGCTATTGTTGAGAGTGCTGCTATAAACATTGGGGTACAAGTGCCCCTATGCATCAGCACTCCTGTATCCCTTGGGTAAATTCCTAGCAGTGTTATTGCTGGGTCTTAGGGTAGATCTATTTTTAATTTTTTGAGGAACCTCCACAGTTTTCCAGAGTGGCTGCACCAGTTTGCATTCCCACCAGCAGTGCAAAAGGGTTCCCGTTTCTCCACATCCTTGCCAGCATCTGTAGTCTCCTGATTTGTTCATTTTAGCCACTCTGACTGGCATGAGGTGATATCTGAGTGTGGTTTTGATTTGTATTTCCCTAATGAGGAGTGACGTAGAGCATCTTTTCATGTGCCTGTTGGCCATCTGGATGTGTTCTTTAGAGAAGTGTCTATTCATGTCTTCTGCCCATTTCTTCACTGGATTATTTGTTTTTCGGGTGTGGAGTTTGGTGAGTTCTTTATAGATTTTGGATACTAGCCCTTTGTCTGATATGTCATTTGCAAATATCTTTTCCCATTCCGTTGGTTGCCTTTTAGTTTTGTTCATTGTTTCCTTTGCAGTGCAGAAGCTTTTTATCTTGAGGAGGTCCCAGTACTTCATTTTTGCTTTTAATTCTCTTGCCTTTGGAGATGTGTCAAGTAAGAAATTGCTGCGGCTGAGATTAAAGAGGTTTTTTTTCTGCTTTCTCCTCTAGGGTTTTGATGATTTCCTATCTCACATTCAGGTCCTTCATCCATTTTGAGTTTATTTTTGTGTATGGTGTAAGAAAGTGGTCTAGTTTCATTCTTCTGCATGTTGCTGTCCAGTTCTCCCAGCACCATTTGTTAAAGAGACTGTCTTTTTTCCATTGGATACTCTTTCCTGCTTTGTCAAAGGTTAGTTGGCCATACATTTGTGGGTCCAATTCTGCGGTCTCTATTCTATTTCATTGGTCTATGTGTCTGTTTCTGTGCCAGTACCATATTGTCCTGATGATTACAGCTTTGTAGTAGAGGCTAAAGTCTGGGATTGTCATGCCTCCCACTTTGGTTTTCTTCTTCAATATTACTTTGGCTATTCGGGGTCTTTTATGGTTCCATACAAATTTTAGGATATTTGTTCTAGCTTTGAGAAGAATGCTGGTGCAATTTTGATTGGGATTGTGTTGAATGTGTAGATTGCTTTGGGTGGTGTTGACATTTTAACAATATTCTTCCAATCCATGAGCATGGAATGTTTTTCCATTTCTTTGTGTCTTCTTCAGTTTCCTTCATAAGCTTTCTATAGTTTTCAGCATGCAGATCTTTTACATGTTTGGTTAGGTTTATTCCTAGGTATTTTATGGTTCTGTTGAAATTGAGAATGGGATCAATTTCTTTATTTGTCTTTCTGTTGCTTCATTATTGGTGTATAAAAATGCAACCGATTTTTGTACATTAATTTTGTACCCTTCAACTTGCTGGATTCATGTATCTGTTCTATCAGACTTTTTTTTTTTTTTTTTTTTTTTTTTAATTTTTTTAACGTTTATTTATTTTTGAGACAGAGGGAGACAGAGCATGAATGGGGGAGGGTCAGAGAGAGGGAGACACAGAATCTGAAACAGGCTCCAGGCTCTGAGCTGTCAGCACAGAGCCTGACGTGGGGCTCGAACTCACGGAGTGTGAGATCGTGACCTGAGCCGAAGTCGGCCGCTTAACCGACTGAGCCACCCAGGCGCCCCTCTATCAGACTTTTGATGGAATCTGTCAGGTTTTCCATGTAGGGTATCATGTCATCTGCAAAAAGTGAAAGTTTGACTTCATCTTTGCCAGTTTTGATGCCTTTTATTTCCTTTTGTTGTCTGATTGCTGACACAGGACTTCCAATACTATGTTAAACAACAGTGGTGAGAGTGGACATCCCTGTCGTGTTCTTGATCTCAGGGGGAAAGCTCTCAGTTTTTCCCCATGATATTAGCTGTGGGCTTTTCCTAAATGGCTTCTATGATGTTTAAGCATGCTCTTTCTATCCTGACTTTCTTGAGGGTTTTCATTAAGAAAGGGTGCTGCATTTTGTCAAATGCTTTTTCTGCATCTATTGACAGGACCAGACCATATGGTTCTTATTGTTTATTTTATTAATGTGATGTATCACATTGATTTGCGAACATTGAACCAGCCCTACAGCCCAAGAATGAATCCCGCTTGATCATGGTGAATAATACTTTTTATATGCTGTTGAATTCGATTCGCTAGTATCTTGTTGAGATTTTTTTGCATCCATATTCATCAGGGATATTGGCCTGTAGTTCTCTTTTTTTGCTGGGTCTCTGTCTGATTTCGGAATCAAACTAATGCTGGCTTCATAGAATGAGTCTGGAAGTTTTCCTTCCCTTGTATTTTTTTTGGAACAGCTTGAGAAGGATAGGTATTAACTCTGCTTTAAATGTCTGGTAGAATTCTCCAGGGAAGCCATGTGGTCCAGGACTCTTATTTGTTGGGAGATTTTTGATAACTGATTCAATTTCTTCTCTAGTTAGGGTCTGTTAGTTTTGGTAGTGTGTGGGTGGTAGGAATTTGTCCATTTCTTCCATGTTGTCCAGTGTGTTGGCATATAATTTTTCACAATATTACCTGATAATTGCTTGTATTTATGAGGGATTGGTTGTAATAATTCCATTTTCATTTGTGATTTTATCTATTTGGGTCCTCTCTCTTTTGAGAAGCATTGCTAGACGTTTATCAATTTTGTTTATTGTTTCAAAAAACCAACTCTTGGTTTCATTGATCTGCTCTACTGTTTTTTTAGATTCTATATTGTTTATTTCTGCTCTGATCTTTATTTTTTCTCTTCTTCTGCTGGGTTTGGGGTATCTTGCTGTTCTGCTTCTATTTCCTTTAGGTGTACTGTTAGATTTTGTATTTGGGATTTTTCTTGTTTCTTGAGATAGGCCTGGATTGCAGTGTATTTTCCTCTTAGGATTGCCTTTGCTGCATCCTAAAGGGTTTGGATTGTTGTGTTTTCATTTTCATTTGTTTCCATGTATTTTAA